CCCAGGTCACCCCCCCCCGTGCCGTCCGTGGGCAGCGGGGACGCCGAGGACGTGCTGCCACCTCCTGCCCAGGCGTGACACAGCCCGAGACAGGCACGGGCAGGCCTGGGAGCAGCTGGCAGAGTTCAGTACTTCTCCGAAGATTTTAACTCAATACTTGTAAGGAAATCGCTACTTCGACACCGTGTGGGTGCTGAGGCAGGTGATGACAAACAGGCCTCAGCCTCAGGGACCTCCGTTAGTCACAGCCACTTTTTGCTTCTGCCTGCGCCCACCGTTCTGCGCTCGGGGCGCCGGAGCTGCTTTCAGCATTACTAAAAGCAACGTTTTGACTGGATGGCACGGCAGAGCGAAACCGGGCTCCTTCACTGGTACCAAGGTCTCGTTGGCATCGTTCACTCTGGTTTATATCAGCTCCAGAGTAAACCTTCACTGCCAAAACCTGAAGCCCCAGATTCTAATGACGCTATGGCATCGCATATAAATTAATTCCTGCAACTGTGTGCTAGTACAGCGGCTGCAATAGGGGTCAGAAATTTGGGTGCTTCTACCTGGGAATAGGGCACTTTGTTCCGGTGCCTCGGTCTGTGCTCCAGAAAAGGGAAGTGGGGAATTTTATATTTATGGGGTGCAGAGGTCTAAATGAGCACTACCTTTAAGAGAGTAAACTGTCGTTTCTTCTCTTCTTTCACTCAGCTCTTCGATGAAGCTTTTGCTCACATAATCCAAAGCCTGAAAGGGATATGGCTTATTAATAAAAGCTCTAGAAATGCTGTTACATACATAAGTTTTTCCTGTTTGCTTTTGATCTCTGCTATCATTACCTGATCCTTTCCTACCGTAAAACTCTCTGCAAAAATACGCTTCATTTCTCCCCACAGTGGTTACTACCTGTTAGTATCCCTTATCAAATGTCTCCTCCCCTGAAGATTCCATCTCGCTCACGCTATCTTTTTTCTTCTGGCAGGAGGACAGGCCCTGCCTGCGCCCTGGACACCCATGAGGGATCACCAAACGGGAAGGTGTCTGCGCTGTAAGTTGTGCCCAGGGAGCCCACCCACAACCTGCTGTCGGGGCAGTGAAGGGTGGCTCCCAGAACACGCTGACGCCGTTACCTGGGTCACGGGCCGTGCCCAGATGTTCTGCCACCATCTCATGCAAAGTGGTTTCTCTGGGACGTTTTGGAAAGGTCAGAAAAGGGTGCGCTGCGACGAGCAGCTGACAGCAACTGAGCACAAGGAGGCACGGCTGTGTTCTCTGTGTGAAATCCTTGCCCCAGGGAGGGCAAAGGAAAATCTTCTCTTGACCTGAGCAGCGTTAGGGCTTCACCCTTCTATGTGTTGTACTGGCTCATAAGCTGGGGTTAAGTTTTCTGAGCCAGGAAGTTTCATAACTTCCAATACATAAACTGCTTCAGAGGCTGCATTTCCCCCTCCTCACACACCAGCGATGTAGTGCTGTTTTCTCAGTTCCCAGGACACGAGACAGCAGTTACCGCCGACGTACTGACGCTGCCCCAAGCTTCTGTCTTTGCAACAACCCACTTACAATAATGATGGCCTTTTGAGCAGCTTCATTGTGAATAAGCTTTGCCTTCTCAAGTGCTTTTTCAAAGTTCAAGATTGCAGACCGGTAATCCTTTAGTTTTACTGTAACAGACAAAAGAAAACATCTATTTTAACCCAAAATGAAGAGAACAACAATAGTTAATCAAGCAAGTCTCCGATGAGAGGTCTTGATCTGAACAGTTACTTTGGCTGTTAAATCACAGGGATGCTCTCACTAAGATGCTGAACAGACAGACTGTCTCCGTCCTTAGAGCAAAATTTCTACCAACACCTTTACCTTGTGCTTGTGCCACTAGTACAGTAGCGTGGAGTTGCCACTCAATATCTCCCTCTTCATCTGCTGACTGCAGGGACTTCTGTCCGTAATTTTGGGCTGTCTCAGCTTTATCCAGCTCAAGGTAACATTGGCCAATTTCATGGAACAGCCAGGTCTTCTCCAGGCTGGATTTTGCCATTGGAATCT